ACTACATCCTTTAAAATTATGCGACACAATAATTTTGAAATTGCGAAAGGAATTATTATATTTGATTAAAATTTATATGTTGATATTAATTATGTAGCGAGAGAGGGAGTAAGAAAAATGAAGGAAAAAGAAAAATGTGGGAAAAGCTCCATAAATCTTCGGATCGTGTACGTATTGTGTACGCGATTAATCAAGGATTTCGAATGTTCTACGTCAGGAATCTCGAGTATTCGAGCTTATTTGAGTAATACAAGTATTCGAATATCTTCAAGCCAATTTCCACGCTTTTCCATGCGCTTGGGAGATATTCCATCCCGCTCCAGATTCCAAGTACATTATCATGTAAATCGTAAGAACGGTCGATGAACAAACTTGAGAGAAGAAGGAGCTGGACCTCCGACTGGTCGGCGCCAGAATCGGACGAAAATTCGATGGTTTGGTCGTAAACATTTAAGTACTCTGAAAAAAAGTGAATGCGTGTGCATGCGATTGTTGTAATCGCACTTGCTATACGGGATGCTCGAACGGTTTTTTTTTACGGCGGAACGGATCGTCAACTGACGCGAGTATTATGGACCGGAACGTAATTGAGCGAACGACATTAGTGAATCGATTGTGCAATTGCATTGGCAAAGTTTAATCATGTTTTTTGTTACGTATTATATCGGTGTAAAATAAAAAGCTACTAAAAATAAAAAATTTAACTGCTTTTTACATGTAATTTTATGTGTCAAGCCAAAAAATGAAACCCAGCCAATATTCTTTTCTCTCTTTCTCCTTTGCGATTTTTTTTTTTTTTTTTTTTTATTAAATATGCGGAGTTGATGCACAATATTTGCTTTTACTGTATTGCATTTTACTGCAACATTTTCGCTGTTTATAAATAGTTAAATTCGATAGACGCTGAACAAATGTTTACAAATGTATGTTTCACGCAAATATCGTTATTTTAACTATTACCTTATGTATTATGTGAAATCATGAAATTTGTATTATTGTTTTATTATATTTCCTATTTATTTTAACCCGTGGTCAAAGCAAAATTATGCAGCAATTTTATCCCTATCGAAATATAAGATATTCTTACCGAATATGGAAATATTATACTTTTTTTATAGTACAATATTTCAGAAATAGCTCCACTCTTGTGAAGTGAATGCTATGACAATGCTTATGAATTCCGAAAAAAGCTTTTCTGAAGAGTGGAAAATCGTTATACAAAAATATCCAAAGCTAATAAAAGATCTGCTTTATTTTATTTATTTTATTCGATTATATTGCGACGATTTGCGCGTGCACGAGCAGAAAGCTCGATACATTGCGCTGCGAGAGATCTGAAACGGTGCTGTATGCTGTATCGACGCATTGAAAAGGGAAAATCATGCGGCGTGTGTCAATGGAAGTCTTTTTAATTTATTTGTTTTTAAATCTTTTTAATTAAAGCACCCTCACAAATTCCATTGACACACGCCATACGTTTAAAAAAAAAAAACGTCAAATTCTGGGTGGGTGAGATTCACAATAAATCTCGTTGCACCTCTCGCGTATTGTGTATTGTAAATGTTACTCACTGTCGCTCGGCAAACGGTTCTAGGTTCAATTAGCGTTTCGAATTCGTGCGTGGGCGTGGTGGACACGCGTTGCATTTATGCTATGCGTTCTGACATTCCTCGCACTGTTAGCTTATAATTCCGATAAATCAAACGTGGCTCGACTGGCCTAGTTTGCGATTATCAACAATATCATGGTATTTTCCATGCTCGCGAGTATCAATTCCCATACAGCATAGAGAAGCTCTAAGAAAATATGTCCTAAAGATATCCAGAGGATGTTCTAACTGAACGTTCCACACTGAGAAAAAGAGTTCGATAATAGCCACTAATATTGAGTGAAGCCATAAATATTAGCGAACTAATTTTAATCAAATAAATTCGATTACATATAAAATACAATATAAAATAATTTCATTTTTCTATATATCAATAACAGTTATTATTACTAAATGTGATTGATTACATTATTATTATGTTTTGTAGTACTCGCTGAAATATTTAGAAAAGTAAAATTATTCATATTATGTTTATCAAAAACATTTGATTGAAATGATTTCACTTGACATTTGGCAACTATTACCACATTCTTTTTTCAGTGATCCTAAGAACACATTCCCAGGAGGTCCCTTTCATAAAGTGTGCAGCTCGGATGAAGATATTACGTTCAAATGTCATGATATATTCCTGCGCTTGCTAATATCACTACGTTACGATGGGGAGTCTAGTAAACAATTATCATTATTGTTATCTTCTACTACTTCCATTCTACTTTTATTTACAACGTACAGATAACGAGAGAGTTTCAGTAGCGCGGTGGATGGATATGGACCTTTTGAATCCTTTGCAAATTTACCGTTGAATAAAATATAATTAACCTATATTTTGCAGGCGCTGAATACACACCTATTCGCCTATTTCGAGTCGCGAAGCGTGGTGAGTTTGATTGCACTTTGTGCCACTAAAAACAAAAATCGAAGTTTCATGGCGATGATAGCTTTCGCCGTGGACGCGAATCTCTTTTCCCAGTTCTGGCTGTGAAATTCTGGCGAAAATAGCCGCGCTCCCTCGTAAAGGTCGCACATAAAATGAAACGAATGCGTGACAACGTACCACTAGGTGTTTCATTTCAACCTCGATTCAGATAAATCGTGAAACACTACGATTTCTCATGTTTCATTGCTCGAATCCCGTTTCCTTGGTAGAGACAAGCGCAACGCGCTTGAGGAAAACGCGTTCTTGGAATATTTTTATTCTATTTCAAGGCGTGCACGTCAGTCAGGGGGCAAACTGAAAACTGCGAGACTCTTTATAAATGATCGCGCCAGGTTTCGCTGCGGTTTCATTTTTCACACGAGAACAGGACTAGACGTGTATTTTACATTCGGATCGCGAAAAACACGTCTCTCTCTCTCTCTCTCTCTCTCTCTCTCTTTTTTTCTCTCCCTCTCTACGTTAGTGTGTTTAAGATGCGCTATTCAAAATCGATCATTGCTGCGCTTGTAATTTGAATGAGTAACAGATTACCCGCTTTCACGAAAATACCACTACGCAATTTCGTTTCATTTGGACGTGATATAATATCGACATAACATCGCACCATTCGCAAGATAATTGGACCACGCAGTTATTCATCTATATTTCATCGTGGGTATAAAATGAATTCATTCATTAGTTATTACGGAAGCCGCTTGTCGGACGCTGCTGTTGAATCTAAAGCCGAATACGGGTTTATGTACGTGTTGAGCTTTTCAATATTTCAAGTTACTGCATGTACTCGCTAAATAACACATGGATCAATAAGTCCCGAGACTAACCCAGAAATGGCGCTCGTAGTAAACCAGTAACCACGTCTTTCTAGAGTACTAACCTTTGCTTGAAACGTGTCAAAATTTTAAGTCGATCGGACTAGAAACAGCTGAGTTATCGAGGTTAGAGTAAAGTCGTTTTGTAGTTTGTTTAAAAAATGGAAAAAACCGAGTTTCGTGTTCTGATAAAACATTGTTTTTTAATGGGTAAAAACACCGTGCAAGCAAAACAATGGATTGAAAAATGTTACCCGGACTCTTGTCCATCAAAAGCAACGAAAAATTAATATTTTTTTTTAAAAGCAATTTTTTTATAAACATGGTATTGAAAAATTAGAAAAGCGTTGGAACCATTGTATCACCCTAAAAGGTGATTATGTTGATGAATAAAAAAAAATTTTGCAAAAAAAATGTTGTTTTCATTGTTAGTCTCGGGACTTATTGATCCATGTGTTAAAATAAGAACAAACGGAAAAGCACAGATTGTATCATATATTCAGCAAATTTTTATACTGCTTTTTATATTACTCCTCGTGAAGTGATGCACGCTCGTTGTTCGCGTGTGTTCTTACAGGAGAGCTACACGTATTTCCAGAAGTAAGCCAATGCATCTTTTGATAAGTTCGGTGTTGATCTTTCTCAATTAATTAATATTACATATTCACGTTTTATTTTGACTTTCACAAATTTCACAGATTTCTTTTCAAGGAACCACATAATTAAATATTAAATTAAATGTCCGTTAGAATGCGTTAGACATTCCGCGAAACTACAATAATTAAGAGTTATATTCAGAATTGCTATTTATTTCTACATATATTGTATATTCATGAATTTCGTGTTTCCACTCTTTGTGTATGAATTTAAAAATAAGGAATACCCCGTAAAACTGCAGGAACCAACATCTAAAATCTACTTTTATTTATTTATTCGCTCGAATCTGAAACTTTCCGAGAAGATAAAGAGGGCGTACAGAGAAAGAGGAAAGGCACATTTACGGCCGTTATTCCGACACCGTGTCGTCGATCGTAATTACCGGGACGCAGTAATACACGGCCGTTACACTCCGTGAGTAGCGTGGCGCTTCTCTCTCTCTCTCTCTCTCTCGATTATGAATAAAACATGCACTCACAAAACCACCATTCCATCGCTCTTCCCTTTACTCGCACGATATACCGGAAAGAGTACGTCGCCTTTCGTGACGGGCGGGATTCTATGCACGCGTCGCGCAGCCAGGGGCCATTTGTACGTGTCGCCGTTTTTTGCCGGTCGGGCATTGTCGGGGAAGCCGGGATAATTGGGAGACGGCCGTCGATCTCCCGTGCACCAGCAGGGCGCGTTTAATAAAGTTAATATCACCCCCGGTAATATAGTAAACGGTGGTAAACGGCGGACCGTTAATAGCGGGGATCGAAACTTGGTGTATCGTAAATATTGTTTGTACGTCACTTTTTTCTCTCACTCTTTCTCGGCGGACGTGAGCACGATGATTCGGAGGTAGAACGACAATCGTCTTCTTGCCTCGTGAGATGGAAGTAAATTTAAGGAATTGCGCGAAGCGCGAACGACTTTCTTCCGGTAGAAGGAAAGAATGGATGGAAATGAATTTTAACAAAAGAGAATTTACGTTTTGTTCTTGCAGAACTCTTTAGAAGCGCGGCAGAGGCTGGTCCTCTGGACATCGTAAAGCTTCGCAAGGGGGACAAACTACTCAATATTTCAACTCATCTACCGGCGAACACGCCCGACACGCCTTATGTTCTTCAGGTACTTTATTTACATTTTTATTCTACGTAATTAATCACGAAAAATTAATAAATCGAATGCCAATTTAAGCCAACACTGGTTATTAGTGCGTATTTTTATACCACATTTACTCAAAGTGAATATTAAACGTATACGTTTCGACCTACGGTGAAGGTCCTCTTCGGTACAAAAAAAAATATATTAACAAAATTACATAATGATAGCGCATACTATGTATAGTATAAACTAATAACATATAAAATGCGAGAAAAACCGTGGTGGTGATGTCCGAGTTAATCTTGGCATCCTCTCTCTGTCAAAAATTGGCATGATTATTAAATTGATCGATAGAGTTTTATTACTTTCTCATCCAAGTTTTCATAAAAAGAATTTCGATTTAGTTATAAAAATTCTTCTGAATAATGGTTATCCTCTAAGTTTGATATTTTCAACTATCAAAAAGAGACTTAACAAAAAATTTGATCTCTTTATTCATGCTAATGATTTTGTTATTGATGAACAATGGACAACCCAAGAAGATATCAATAATAAAAAATTTTATCCAACATTCGCGGTTATCACACAACATCGGATGGACTTATTGCATGAATTCGATTGGGATAACGTACATATTTTAGACAAAGAGCAAATTTTACATAAAAGATTGTTATCAGAGATGATATACATATTAAAAACAAGGCCTGAATTTACAAAACAATACACTTTCTCTTGATCTGTTATATATAGATCTATTTTCAGAGACGTGCTTCCAATCTATATCGTTTATATTTGGTTATATATTATTTATATTTTTACTGATTGTCTTTGTAAGTACATTGTTCACTGTTTCTCTCAATTCTCATTTTACATCTGTTTACCAAATAGTTATGTCGTGTCTAATATTTTTAAATTTTGTTTCATGTAAGTGAATCCACTAAAGTGGGATTTTTACTATTATTTGTATTAACTTTTTAATTTATTCACATTTGTATTACACAGTAAATGGAACAGTCTAATGGGACATGTACAACAAACCTTATAGAAACAGTTCAATCTTGACAGTCATGTAAGTTTTTTTTTTACCATTTTTCGCGTATAATCTCATATTAGCATTTTTTAAAATTACTTTTAATCTTTTGGGGTCGGTCGTTTTAAAACAAAAAATCTTTTTCTTTTTAGTTAATTTAGTAATTCAATGACCAAGATTAATTCGGATATCACCATCACGGTTTTTCTCGCATTTTATGTTATTAGTTTATACTCGTATGCGCTATCATTATGTAATTTTATTAATATATTTTTTTTTGTACTGAAGAGGACCTTGACCGTCCAAATGTATACGTTTAATATTCACTTTGAATAAATGATATAGAAATACACACTAATAACCAGTGTTGGCTTAAATTGGTATTTGATTTATTATTTTATAGAATTTTCTTTAGAGCCTGTTGTGATTTTATTGTCTGTAATTAATCACATATTTGAGGAAATAGTTTTTGATAAGTTCTTTTTTGTGAAAGTTACTCCGCAAGAAAGGCAAAGAATTTCTTGTTACTTATTCGGAGAAATTTGTGGAAATAGTTTTCGATAAGTGCTTTTTGTGGAAGTCATTCCGCAAAAAAAGGCAAAGAGTTTCTTGGTTACTTATTTGAAAAAGTTTTGATGAATGAAAGAATTGTTTTCTTTCTATCAGATTTTACGGTTATTACGATAGGAATGACAGATTTGAAACAAATGATGTCTTGATTTGAGTAATGAGCGTTTAATCTAAATGAGTTCAACAATTGTTGTATTATCATAATTAGCCTTATCATGTAATTCGAATGAATGCTGATGGCAAAGTTTATTATGAATTTATCGCGACTTTGGAAAAGAGTTTAAAACTTTGATTATTTTTCATAAATAATTGCTTCATTGCTTTTGTATACAGTTTTTTATATATTTACGAGGATATCGATCTACCTTTTTATCTTATTTTGAAATATTTCATAAAAATTGTAAACAAAAATGATCGAAAAGTGTTCAATTACACAAACAGTTTATTGATGAACGGATAAGCGAATTAATTTATCTGATTACATCCTAAACATTCAAGGAAAAAACGCGCGATATTATTTTATAAAAAACGCGCGATATTATTTTATAAAAAAATGTGTTGATTTTCTTTTACACAAAATATTCTAAACGCGCATAGAATACATTTTTCGTACTTAGCTGGTTGCTTTTTAAGATCGTCGGCGCTCATCCCGCTTCTTCTGGGGTGATCGAGGCGGAGGTACTTTGGGCTTTAGAGAGGCGCGTGGCGGCTTTAGAGCGGCAACTACGAGAACATCAGGAAGCTTTATACGCCACACCCTCTCTCGCTCTACGAGAACTCAAACGCCAAGTGGACAGTTTCAAGAACAAATTGGAGAACAATGATCAGCTGAGCTGGCTTAGTAAGTGTTACCACATACTTCGTTCCTGCATTTAGAGTGTCCCTGTTATGCCTAAGTCTCTGGCAGATTTATTCCAGGGAAATTCTGCAAATGTCATATCCAAAATTAATAGAACTTGTGAGATATTTTTATTATATTTCCTTGTAACTTTTTAACGCGACGATATAATTTATTCTCAAAGATTAAATTTAATTATGTTACATAAGCAGCTTATAATATATAATTCTAATGTTTATTACGGTACACTAATAATATCTTTCGTACGTTCGATTTTGGCTTTTATGTAAAATTTACAATTTTCAGATATTACTGTAACAAGCTAAATTTGTAACTTGATATAATTTATAATTCGATAATCGTCGCTTCTAATTCTGACGACAATGATCAGCTTTAGTTGCTTAAATAAGTAACGTGTACAAAACTTCTGGAAATAAGTTTCGTAATTGAACTTCGTAATCGGATTTCGCGGCGGTGACCGTAGTGGTAAAAGTGAATGGGATAATCCAGCGAAACGGAGAAATTCGGAATAATGTCTTACTTCTGACATTAAATAGCGAACATTAGCGAAATGTTCTGGTCGTCTGCGGGTGGCCGTCATTATTCGTCAAATGATTGCACCTATGGACCTGTGGATCCATTATCGTAATGCATCGAAGTGCACGCTACTGTTAAAATTATCATTTATTGTTGCGGCACTACTCTTTCATGTTAAATTCGAGAATGGATATCTATATATTGGTGTACCGATACAGAAAATATGATTGTTTCTATATTGTACAGGATACAAGGAATTTTTGTTTTATTAGTGAAAAGGAAATGAAATTGAAGATAAATATGGACATTGTTGGAGCACGGGTGCTTTTCTTCCCTTTCAATCCGTTCTTTCGAGTTCAATTCATTGTTTAAGTATTCTCTTGTTTAGCGAAATCTCGAGTGAAAAGTATTATAGTAGAAATGGAATTTTAGTAACGTTAAAGTTCAGAGAGATGAAAATGTGAGGAATATACTCGTTCATTAATTTTAAATAGTTTTCGTATTGCATTATTAAAGATTATTTTGTATAATATCCGATATTCCTTCCTCCAAATTCTCGATAATAATACAAAAGCTGTATTAATATCTTAGTTTAATGCAAGAGTGCAGTCTAAAATTACTCACTAAATTCTTTGCTCTCGATGGTCCTCGACTACTCGGAAACGTCTGGAAATTGAATTCTCATGCAACACGGCAATCCTTTCAACGAATTGAAAAATTTGTTGCTATTTAGATACACGAATAGTTGCCCACTAATTTCGAACATATGGTCTATTTTCTGTTCTTGCAACAGGCTGTACTAGAACTCTCTTTCTCGTTTTCGACAAATATCAAACGTATACCTTTTTCTCTTCAGGTTCTGAAAGTGCACACTAGTTCAGCCGCAGAAAGCAGACCTATAGTACAATTAAATAATAGTTAAGGAAATTACACTTGTTAAAACAATTATTGTTGGGCAATTTTTATTGCACATCGATAAACTCGAAAGAGATCTCGGCAATTTTTACTATAAGTGCAAATAATTTTAAACAAATAAATAAATAATGAATAGGAAAAGATAACATATCGCAAAGAAATAACAAAAATCGTAATAATTTGAAATATACTTTCTTTCCACATTTTATTGAAGTATATCTCTCCGGTTTATTGTAAAAGATTAATCTTAAGAAGTATGTGCATGTCTCAACTTGACTTTTTCAACGCAATTGTGACGATAACTTTTCTTTTTGAGATTTTATGTTCCATACTGAATCGAACTTTACGTTGAAATAGGTTGGTCATCTCTTGGTCAGATATAAAAGTTCGCGAGAGATTTTATGACGCCGCTCGATCTGAGACCAGCGACGGATATACGAGCGGATAAACAGCGGCCGCTGAATAAATATTTGTCCATGCAAGGAACCGTTCCCGCTATTCCTATCTTCAATTTCTAGTTTGAGCTCATATAGAAGTTGATTCAAGCGTGGACGAACAAAAACATTCCGCGCTTATGTATGGCCGTTACATTAATCACTATCTCGACCTTCTTTCGTTATCTTTTGATTGGATGTGGAGTCGGATGCTATTTGCATATCGCAGAAACTTAATTCAGAAAAAAACTTCGTAATCCGCACTTTTATTACGTCTGTGTAATTTGATCCTTCGCAAAATTTCTGCTAAGAGAGGATAGAAAATTTTCTAAGAATCTGCCGATAAAGGGAAAGCCCCGGTGAAACTGGGACGGGACGTGTATAGGCAACTTTTAGCACATGAAACTCTCCTTACAAAATCTTGTTACGACGTGAAATGACGTAGAGCTTGCGAAAAATTGCACCGGCATCCCGCGTCCCATCTTCGATGTTCCTTCACGATCCTTTGTTGCATGGCACAGTTTCCTGCCGCAAAAACTCAAAACTCAAAACTTTCCAAGGGCTTAATCTGGATATCTCCATCTTCCGCAGGTTTCTACAAGCTTCCGGAGCCCATCTATATGGAATCCTGCCGCAGATTGCAGTATCGTCGGAAGAGTGATAGCATGAAGCGAAAAGTTCGGGAGAAGTTCCTCAATATCTGGTGAGTTAATTAAGATTGTATCATCTAATCGCTAAAACTGTATACGTGACGCAAACTGTACGTTTCTCCTTCATTGTTGTAGGTAGTATTCTCCTTTAGTAGACGATATAAAACACAGATTCTTGCACACACGTATATAAACTAAAACTAACGGTTGTCAAAAACCTGACACGCGTCAATAAGAAAACTTTCAGAACCAAAATAAATTTCATATTTCCGCGATAAAATTCCGCACAAGGCGTCGTTTGAGAACGCCGTTATCGCTGATAAAGCGGAAAAATTTCTTATCGGCGTACTTTTATCCACACTAAACCAGCATGGATCTTACGTGCCTTAACGCCGATATTACGTGAGCAGGATCGCCAACGTGGGGCTTCCGCGGGCATGTTCGATCGAAGTGCCAACAGGCTGGTTGTGTCGGACAAGCCATCAGCGACTGTAGTGCCGCGGCCGATGATTAAGCGGCTGCGATAATCCTATCCTATTAAGCAGCAATATGCCGCTGTTTCCAGTTACATTGTCATCCAATAGCGATCCGATCGACCCCCACCGTTCTCTACTTCGGGTGTAATGCGAGAACCCTCCCCAAGTCATTGTGATTAAACGTCGATGCACGGGGTGTGCATTGATCGTCGATCGCTCATACCATGCAGCTAAAAACGCGATCCGACTTCGAAGATTAATTAGCTAAGGGGTAAATGTTGTTTAACAAATATACAACGGGCTGAAGATTCCGCCGTCGTACGCAAGGTATTTCGTCATTCGCGCCTGCCTTTTTACTTACATGAACTTCTCCAATAGATCTATTCTCGATATCGAAAAAAAATCATAGACGTTTTGTATTGATATGTCATGGCAGAAGTATCTAAACGAACGTTCACGTTTTCCAATGAGAAAATCAAATTGATGTAATATTAATGATTAATATTAATTATTCATTATTTAATTTTTTGGTTAGCCGACAAATTTCAAAAGAGGAATTGTGATAATTAAATTAATAATTGATAATTAATTATTAATTTCTCATTAGAGCATTTCTAGGTAATACATATGTATGTAACGTGTTAATATTTATTTGGAGCAATCGATTCATTTATTATAAAACGAATGAGAGATAGGAGATAAACAAGCCATAATAATGATAAAGCCATATTGCAATTGCTATTGAAATATCCTCTATTGAAGTTCCTAGTCAATAAAGCATCCATTGATGGCTTAATTTACAACGTTGAACGTCGGAGATCAAAGGATGCGGTGCGGAAATTAATTATGAAGCGATGTAGAAAGTATGGAGAATTTACGAGGGACAATTATCGGGAAATTAGGAATAAACAATTCGCCGGGAGTAAAATTAATCGATTTGCTCTGAAATATCAGCGAGATCGCTGAGAATAAAGTATCGATCAGTTTCCCCTTTGAAGCGACGGTGAAGATAAACAATCAATCTCTCGACACATCGTAAAGTCTCATCACGCAAAACGGTAATGCGGCGCGCGTCCCGCTAGGAGAACTATTGAATGCCTATCTCCATTCAATAGTTCTCCTTGTTTACATTTTCTTTATTCAATATTACATATCTTTTTTTAATTAAAAATTTTTTAATTAAAAACGGATTTATACTTACGCGTCGTATAATATCTTAAATAGATAAAAGCGGCGTACAATGTGAAATACGTTTAATAAAATATAGATATTAATCATGGCGACGAGATATTTTAATGCGTGCATTTGTTATTGCGGAAGGTATGTGTGAAAGCTTTTTTAATTTCTAGCTAGCTTAAATGAAAGTGGCGCTATTCGGATTTTCATATTCGGAATCTTCTCGCACGTATTTGGTGGTATTTTCTTGCGCGTAGGATATATTACGTAGATGTTCAATATTGTGAATCGGCATTATCGAGGGCGTACACATCGCAAACAAGAATCGAAAGATGGATAGATGGTAAATGTTGGATTAATCTGTGCTGATACAAGCGTGGACTCTGATGAAACCCCGGAGATGGGCGAAGTTTGTGTCCACTTGCGAGAGCATTACTATTAACAGTTCGGCGACTAATAAATCTCAGATAAGGTTGACGTATCGAGTTTGTGCTGTCTAAAACAGATGGTTCGTTAAGATGCATCTGCAATGCAAGTGACAGACATTTATCTCTAACAAATTTGCAGAATCGGAATAAAAAGTAAATTTATTTTGAAAAATAAAAAAATATGAACACGCACGGAAAAAAAATGGAAAAACAATAACGAAAAGCTTTATAATAAATGTATTTTAAAAATACATTTTTACCTTTATTACCGTTTTTTATTTGTAAAAGAATCACGTTAATTATTATAGAGGAACCGCAACCGTTAATGTAAAATGTATTATTGTAATTTTTAATTATTATATTGTAAAACTCTTATTGGAATATTAAAACATTATTGCAATTTCACGATATTTGTACTATACATTTTGTAAAAAAAAAAGAAAAAAACATTGTTAGAACAATAATTCTTTGAACATCAAATTATCTGGAAGAGATGTAAATTATTGTCCCATTTCATATACAGAGTATTTGACAATTATTGCTTTAGAAGCAATATTTTTTCAACGCGTATTAAATGTTAACCTTTATCGATTGTACTGATACAAGAACTTGGAAGCGCAAAGTAACTTCAAAGTGTTTCGAACGGTGTGAATAGTTATTATACGATGACAGATATAAAATAATTTAGTTCTCACACTCACTGGTGTAAAACTCTTTGTTGACCAGACGTCGAAATACTACTACGAATTGATTCTATTATTAAAGCCGTATTATTGAATCTGTCAGACTTGATCTAACACAAGTTATATGTTGACATTGGCAATATCATATTAACATTGCGTCCGTCTGGTTTTATTTAACTAACAAGAAGGGCGCGTTCAGTGTAAACGTAAAGAAAGATGGGAATAAAATATGTGCGTAAGTAACGGCGCGGAATATGAGTCACGTTATCGCATTTCCTCTAGCTCGGATAACCGTAAAATCAAATGTATTACCTTAAAATTGAATAATACAATGTTGCACGCGACTTTTCGATATTGGACGTGGATTTAGCGAAATAAGAGTCACGGATGCATAAACGTGCATTTGAATCGCTTTTTAACGAATACGTAATAAAATTCATATAACTTATAAAGCGTTAATGAATCTCAGAGAGAATTCCAATATTTTAATTTCGCGAGAATCGTAGTAGAAACAATTGGATCGTTTATGGCTTATAAACTCGCAAATAATCGACGAGCGCGTATTTTACATCTCCAATTACAAGTTACTTGTGCGAATGCGTTTCCCGAGAAATATCTGCATCTGTTATTAATTTAATTACAGTTTATTTCATTCTGCCTTTTTTCTCTGAATTCTTTTATTTAGCTTTGCTGGATATTTCCACTTATACTTGTACAACATTGGATAATTATATATAATACTTAACAGAAATTAGCTATTTAATTATACAAATTGATTTTAATATATTGTATTTTTCTATAAAAATGTTTCAACACTTTTTCACTTCTCTTCTCTCTCTACCTCTTTAAATTATATAATTTAAATTATAGAAACGTTTTTCAAGTATACAAATATTTTGTTTGGACAATTCCAATTTTCAGACTTGAAAATTCTTTTTTTAATTTGAATTTCGTTCACTTTTAACAAAGTTACAGTTGCTTGAATTTTGAAGTTTGCAGCCCTACGAATTTTGTTCAACAGTCTAATATATTTATGTTTATATTAATTTGTATTTAGGAAATGTTAAATTATGTTAATAACATTTTCTGTTAAATGTGTTTGACATTTTCTGTTAAGTTTCTCACATAAATAGAATTAATGGTCACGCTCGAGCTAGATTTTGCGTTTGTGAAAGAGACAAGAAGGGGATTACATACAATGGCGGTATAATTCATTTTGCCTCGTGATAAAAACCTGGGATTACGGGTTGATGCATTATGTTGGTTAGATTTCTTTTATTTCGCCTCTATTGATGTACTTACTTCCGCGTCATATTCTTAGCGTAAAATGAGAATTAACGACCTCCCTCGATTTTCTCCTCGCTAATAAAACCTCGTTCCTCGTGGACGAATATCTCTCCGGTTATATATATATATATATATATATACTTTTGTCATATTTCGAATTCCGAAAATACAGTTTATTGAGTCTGCCCGTCCGCGTGTCCGTCATAACACTGCGAAGCTAAAAATTCCACGGTAACAGCGCCGTCTTCGCGCGTCTGATATCGTGTAAACAAAAACAAAGAAAATGAAAGATGCGCTGACGCGTCAGTTCGCATTACGCAAGGAGGAAGTTTCCCGGCGTAAGTTTCCGCGAATCTCATATGGGATGTGCGCGACTCTGGTAAAGCGTGACGAGGCGCAGGGCGAGCCTCGGGTGCTTAAAATAGGGAACGTATACGCGGCCGTGTCGGGGATGCCTCGGAATGCGGCTGTTACCTTACCGTGAGCCCTGCTGCGTCTCGCATCCACAACCACGCCTTCTGCGTCCTCCTCCGTCTGGTTTGCGCGGCTCGACTTATTCCGCCGCGCCCGGCGAAATATGCGATCTCGCCGTCCACGTATCGAATATCACAACTTGTCGCGCCTGTGCGCGGCAACGCGGAAGATTTCTTGCGCTTCTCCGCGTGAAGGCGAATAAAACGAAGCGAACGAAGTACGACGGACTCGCGGATCGCCTACCACTCCGAAACCGATTCGAGATCGCGACGAACGATAAGTAATTGGAGGAACTTATTGTTAGATTCGCATTTATATTTCGAAAAACTTATTTCCAATTAGTCGAGAACTTATTTTTAATTAATTTACTTTTAATTGTTGAAATTAGTCAATGAACATTTTTTTTCTTCTTTTTCTCTCCTATCATTTTTTGGGATTAAGTACACGATAATGAATGAACTTTTATCTAATTTGTTCTAAAATGTATATCTATTATAATTTCTGATATGAATGTAAGAGTGTAGGATTG